ATTAGGGCTGTGGCCTGGGGGCGGGGGGGGGCCATGGGAGGTTGGCCAGCTGGAGGGGAAGGGCCATGGGAAGTTGGCTTTGGGAGCGCACTGACCACCAGGGGGCACTCCTGCATTGAGCATCTGTCCTCTGGTGGTCAGTGCACATCATAGCAACTGGTCAACTGGTTGTTTGGGTCGTTCTGGTCGTTCGGTCGTAACGATTGTATATATATTTTGAAAAAGATCATATTGCATATACCATGTTACACTTCTTTTTTTGTACTTAATATATTTTGGAAATATTTCAGTGTCTATTAACATTCTCTACAAAATCATTGTTTTTTTTAAACTTTTTAAAAATGTATTTTTATTGATTTCAGAGAGGAAGGGAGCGGGAGAGATAGAGAGGGAGAAACACCAATGATGAGAGAGAATCATCGATTGGCTGCCTTCTGCACGCCCCCTTCTGGGGATCGAGCCCACAACCCAGGCATGTGCCCTTGACCTGAATCGAACCTGGGACCCTTCAGTCCATAGGCTGACGTTCTCTCCACTGAGCCAAACCAGCTAGGGCTACAAAATCATTCTTAAGAGCAGCACAGTATTCATTTATTATAATATATTTTTTCCAGTTTGTTTACTTTAAAAATTTAAATGTATCAGATGATCATTTAAGATAATAGTTGAGGGGTTACTTTCTCCCTTGATTCCTCACACCCACTTTCCAGACTTTCTATGCACCCACCTTCATGAGAAAAGACTATATATGTAGGACAAAGACATTACTCAGATTTCTCAATAGATTTTCTAGACAATAGCCTTGAATGTCAAACTTTCACTTGCATAGACCTGAATTTGAAAGAGGCTAGGCTCTTTGAATTTGCAGAATGTGGCCCTAAATATGCAGTGGGAGCCATGAGAGGAGCAGAATCTGGTTAATTTGGCGCACATTTTGGTGGAGTATGCGTTTAGGGGACTAAAACAGCTTCACCACACAGGCTGAAGATCAGCTTTAGTAGACACTGCCAAAGACTGTTATCCCAAAGTGGGTTTTCCAATGTAAACTTCCACCAGCAATGCATGAGAATTTCCTGTTCAAATCTTTTGCACGTATTTCTATCGGGTTGTCTTTCCTTTTATTACTGATTTGTAGGACTATTTTATTCATTCAGGACAACAGATCTTTGTCACAAATATTTATTGCAAATATTTTCTACCATTTGGTGGCTTGACTTTTCTCTCGCTTGAAGGTGTCTCTTTGATGACCAGAAGTTCTTAATTTTAATGAAGTCAATTTACTCATCTTTTAAACCCATGCTTTCTGTGACCTGTTCAAGAAACTTTTGTCTACACCAAGTTAACAAAGATATTCTATCTTCTAGAAATTTTGGTGCTAGTTTTCCATAAGACCTGCAATTCATCTAGAATGTATTTTTGCACATGCTGTGAAGTATGGTTTAAACTTCATTTTTTAAAAAAAGTGTGGATATTCAGTTGGTCCAGAGGCATTTGTTAAAAAGACACCTTTCTCCCCCTCCTGTTCTACTTAACGGTATTTTTGTTTTAAGTGAAGATCAAATTGGTTTATGTTTGTCTATCCTTGCATTCCTATCATTCTGTGGGAAACTGTTTATTGCCTTCACTATCTGATAAACATAGACAGAGAATCCCCCCACCCTGCTAAGGCTGGGTGCCTTTGAAGCCCTAGCAGAGGTCAGCTAGGCGCGCCCTCTGTTTGTCCAGACAGTGGTAGCTGAAACTACTCCCCCATTTATTATTATGTAAATCCTTGCTGATTGGCTAGTCTGACTGTTGCCAGGGGTCACCTGCCTAAGGGCTATGCTATGGGTCCATCCCAGATCAATAAAAGCTTGGTGAGGCCTGAGAAAGGGAGGAAGTCCTTCGGGACTTGCCGCCTGGTCCCCCAATATTGCGAAGTTATCTCGTGTCTTTTTCTCTCATTTATTGTGCGGCTCCTCTTTCAGATACCGAACCCTACTCCACGCAGAACGTGGAGGGAGTCTTACTTGACACATTCTCTTAATTACTATAGCTTTATTTATTAAATAAATTATTTATTAGAATTTGTCACCTGCTAATATAAGGTTGCAATTTTGTTTTTATACTTCAAGATTGTCCTCTTTACTTTAATGTAAATCTTAGAATCAACCTGTCATTTTACAAATACATACAAATAAAAGAACTTTGTTTAGAATAACAAAAACAAATCTATGGAAAAATTTGAGGGACTTCACATATTTACAATATTTAGTTTTTCAATGCATAGACATGATATATCCTGCTATTTAAGTTTTATTTTACTTCTCTCAATTATATCCTTCAATCTTCTATTAAGAGGTCTTGCACATGCTTTGGTTTTTTGATCCCTTTATAGATACTGTCGCTATTTCTATTTGCTAAGTTAGCAGTGCAGATGTCAGGGCAGAAGATGAGATTCAGAGTCATGGACAGGTCTGGTGGGGAGAATTCATTTCTCTGCAGTCACGTCTGTTTTGATGTTTGTTTGCGTTTGTCTTGATGTGTTGGTTGTTTTCCAAAGCCTTGAGGTTGGTTCAGGATGCTCTGTGGCCAGGCATCCAATCCATTTTTGACAAAGCCACTTTGGGAATTCACGCTTCTAAAACGTTGCCAATGATGTATATTTTGGTGTAACTTCTAGTACCTTTTGTTTTCAACAGTGTCTACTAAAGCTGATCTTTGTTGTCAGGAAATTACTGACTCTAAAGAGATGGCTTGCCATCTCAGGAAATCGCCCCTACAGGGGCTTCCTGCTCTTATATTTAAATGAATTTCTAGGTTACATGCTGCCACCAATCTGCAGTGACAGAGGAGAATAATAGAAAGCCACTCTGGGTTGGTCTTGCTGCCTCATCATTTTCTCTCTACTTTTGTCCTCTTTTTTTCATGTCTAGGTGTAGAGTGTAGGACAGTGATGGTAAACCTTTTGAGCTAGGCATGTCAGCATTTTGAAAAACCCTAGTTTAACTCTGGTGCCGTGTCACATATAGAAATTTTTTGATATTTGCAACCATAGTACAACAAAGATTTATATTTTTGATATTTATTTATATATTTAAGTGCCATTTAACAAAGAAAACTCAACCAAAAAAATGAGTTCGCGTGTCAGAGGTGTCAGAGGTTCTCCATCACTGGTGTAAGAACTCCATTACTTACTGCCTCAAGGTCACTGCTCATGTGATTGATGGATATTTGCAAGTGAATTATTAGTAGTTAAGTTTTCAGGGAGGCAAATTTACATGTGGATATTTGAGTACATTGCTTCAGTTCCCCTAATCCCTTCAATGTTCAAGGGTCAACTGTATACACTAAGTACTTTATACATGTTACCTATGGCCCTTTCAATCATAACTTCACTAAAATTCTCTCCATTTTTTCAAATCAGGAAAGCAAGATATAGAGAGGCTGAACAGCTTGCCGAAGGTCACCCAGGTACAAGATGAGAAGCTGGAGTTTTCCCACTACACCACACCTTCTGAGTTCTGCCAGCAAAAGTGCACTTTCTGGAAGACCCATCCTGATGTTTGGTTCAGAGTAGATGGTCTCTGCTGCCTATGCGTGGGCGGTCAGCCTTTCCCCAGAGTTGCGCATTGCCATGTGTTATTGACAAAACCATCCCTGTGTTGCAAGCTTATCATGAGATCTGGACTTGAGTCACTTCATCTTTCAGGGACACCATTTGAACCCTAGATAATGACTGTCCTGGGAGTGGATAAAACCCAGGCATTGGACCTCTGTCCTGGGTGGAGGACAGGATTGGCTAAGTTCTTTACCTGTTGCTTGGCTCATCTTGACTCTGGCTCACTCTCATGTTTACTTTTTCCCTATGTTCTATGCTGCTAGCTCTGATTCCTGAATCTTAACCTATAATTTTCCCTACGTCCAGGTACATACAGTGTAGATAAGAATGTGAAAGGTGAGTCTGTTGAATTTTGGGTTTGCTTCTTCATGAATGAGTAGTTGGATGAATAACATGCACCATGGCCCTGCTCTCTGTTTCCAGCTGAGTAGGGAGATGCCATGAGCCTTCCTGAGCTGGACAAGGAAGCCCATCTGATATTTCTTCTCTGATTTTCCTCTGAGAACAGTATGGGAGAGGGGAGGGACTTCTCACAAATTATTGTCACTGCTGCAGCTGCTGCTGCTGTTACCAACCTCTCCCTTGGGGTTGAGCCAATGGGACATCTGGGACATTTTCCATGAACCTTGGCAGAGGTGAGATGGGAGGGGTGAGGAGTCTTAGGAGAGAGGAGGCAGGAGGAGCTGGAGCCAGCAGTGAAGGCCTCCGAAGTGCAGTGGGAGGAGGTAAGTGGCATTCTTACACATGCTGGGTAATTCTTATGCATTCTAGGCTTCTAAGTATTATCAGGCTCACTAAAATTAATGGACAGTTCCTGGAGCTCTCTGTGGGAGCATTCATTTGCCTTCAATTACAGCTTTTCCTTTAACAGCATGGCTATGATCCCCACCTTTCCTTCAGCCTCTGTACCTCTTTCTAGCTCTTGAGTGAGGAAAGGCAGGATCTTGACAGTAAGACATCCCCTTGCTTGGTAAAACCATAGCTTTCTGCACTTCCTTGAAGGTATCATAAGCTCCCCTATCCAATATCTGTTCTCTACACAGTTGTTGTAGAGTGATCTTTGAGGTCACAGGAGGGCAGCATTTATAATGTTGGCCAATATGTTGGATATAGGGAAACCAATATTATTCTTTACCTTTTGTGAAATATGCCTACTGACTGTTGAACAAATCTTGATTCTTATAAAAGATAACTTGCACTGAATATATTTAATGCTTATGTCTGGGATTTCTATCCCAGGGAGTCACAGCAGTGCTGAATAAACATGTGTGAATGAATGAAATGAATGAATATTTACAAGCTAATATTTTCTATTTTTTACAGCAAATGATCTAGAACCCTAGTGACAAGTTACATGTCAATTCCCAAGCCTAGAACAAAAGCTAGAGACAACAATGTAATGATTATAATAGTTCCCCCAAAAGTCTGCTGGCAGGAGATACTCCCTATTGGTTATATTTCCATTATTATCAATGATATTTGGCAACTTTAGTAGCAATGGTGAGAGGCCTGAGTTTGTTGTCATTGTTTTTAGTAATATTAGGCAATTTTGAATACTTGGTAAGTGTGTTCAGAATCAAAGGTTCTCTAAAAAATGCAAAGCAGTGTATAGCTGAGCTTTGGGAAATCTCTTTGCTGTAACTGTATTTTTCTACAATAATTTATAGCCTGGATATCTCTGCTTGTGTTTTTGTACTAATAACAGTGAACTAGAGAGTGAGCTTCTAATGAGACCCTCTCATAAGGTGTGACACAGAGGAGAGGGAGGAGAACTATTTCTATTTGTGGGGCCCTAATATCTGTGGTGATTAGGAGAAAAATGGTAATAACAGGAGACCTTGTGTTTAATCACAGTTTTATCTGGAAGATTTTGATCCAGGCTGTCCAATGCTAACACATCAGTAGAGAAGGTTCTATTTATTCTGATAAGAAAAATCACATTGATTCTTCTGAAGGGATTATGTAAAAAGATTCTGAAAGGTTTTCTTAGAAAAAGGTGTAAAGTCTCCCATTTGTCTGAAATGTGCGTTAGAGATGTGCGTAGGGTGGAATGAAAAATGAAGTTTCACCGCAGGGAAGTGTGCTGTTTTATTCATGATTAATGAGTGAAGACCGAGTGTCTGGGTTTGCTGCCTAGCAAACAAGGATTTGCTCATTTATTCTGTGAGAACTGATCAGATTGTGTTCCTGTCTGAACTTGGTTGTGTTGCCACAGGTGATGCTGATGAGAAAACCAGTAAAGAGATAACAGCTTCACAAATGACATTTTGCAGGCACCAGCCCTGTGGTCTTAGATGATTCTCTGAGGAGAAAAGACAGTTGTCAGGGTTAATGCTGGTAGCTGGGCAGTCAGAGAGAAACCAGTGCCCTAGCTGGTTGGTGCACAGAATGTCAGCCTGCGGACTGAAGGGTGTCGGGTTCAATTCCAGTCAAGGGCACATGCCTGGGTTGCGGGCTCCATCCACAGTAGGGGGCATCTAGGAGGCTGCTGATCAATAATTGTCTCTCATCATAGATGTTTCTATTTCTCTTTCCCTCTCCTTTCCTGTCTGAAATAAATAAAAATATATTTTTTAAGAGAGAGACCAAGTGAGGACAATGGCAGTCCTGTGAATCTCTACTCCTGAGCCCTCCCTCCAGCCCAGTCCACCTCCCTGAATTGTGCCCTTCTTTCTGCCAGAGTAGTTTGAGCATCATCTCCACTCAAAAGCTTTCTGTAACCCCTCCACTTTCCTAAAGTACTTTCTGAGCATCTTCAGCCATCACAGTCATCACATTGTAGTGACAGTAGTCCAATGTTCTAATGTACTTTTAGGTCATGGATTCCTGGGGATGGTGTGGGGAAAATGTCTTAATTTCTGAGTGCCCTTGGTGTTTAAACTAAGGTGTTGGATTGAAGGTGCTGTTTCAGGCCATAGTTAGAAACTTTCAGTTTTTTCCCTACTTCTTCTGAAATAATGAACGTCCCCCCTCCCCTTTTTTTTACTGCCTCTTTTCTTCTCATTTTTTCACTTGTTTTCAAATTTTCCTTTCCTATGAGAAGTGATGAGAAATTTTTGGATTGTAGGAGGCATGGATAGGGATGAAAATTAAGGATAAAATGAGAATGATCCTAGATTCTTTCTACTGGTCCCTTTGGTATATAATTAGCCTGTTTTAATGGCAGACACTGGAGTTTGCAGGTGAGCTAAGAAAAACTCACTTGCAATAACATCACTTTGAAAGGTGAGTAAGAGAGGCAAACAATGTTCAATAGATCTTCATTTTGAAAAACTTTTACAATCCTTATTTGACTATTGGAAAGAATTGCATCACTTCACAAATAAAAAAGCATCAGTTTCTCTCTAAAAGGTCATTACAATGGCTTACCGATATGTTATTACTTATCACCCAAGGTGGACACAAATAGTAACAGTATTTAGTGAGATAAGTGTAAGCAGAGGGATGCTTTTTAAAAAAATATATTTTATTGATTTTTTACAGAGAGGAAGAGAGAGAGATCGAGAGTTAGAAACATTGATGAGAGAGAAACATCAATCAGCCGCCTCCTGCACACCTCCTACTGGGGATGTGCCCTCAACCCAGGTACATGCCCTTTACCGGAATTGAACCCGGGACCTTTCAGTCCACAGGCCGACGCTCTATCCACTGAGTCAAACTGGTTTCGGCAACTGTTTTTTTAAACATCAGTACCTAGGGATGTTATGCAATGGGAGTGCACCATAAGGGATGTAAAGTACAGACAGATATTTTCTCATGCATGTTGGTACCTGCTTCAATCTCAAGTATGAACTCCACTGTGTAGTAGGTCCCATAAAACCATTATGCTGTGGGTGTGTGGGATGTTTCAGCAAGCTGGTTAGGAATGCATATTTGTTAAAATTA